ACATTTTTATAGGTAACCTTTTTTTGCAAAAATTACTTTTTGTTACTTATTGGTAAAGGTTTTATTTTGAAAAAAATATACCAAATAATGAAAAAATTAGAAAACTATTAATTGAATCAAATTTTTTGGAACATTTTCAAAAGTTAAATTGAAAAAGTTAAAGTTCTGTGCAATAGATGCTATTTTAAATCACCTTGGAGACAGGTGTCAATAGTCAGATTTTTAGAAAAATATGCTTAAATATAGGATAATACCTACCCTATTTGTAAACAAAATTATTTTTTGATTTATATATTTTTCAAAAATTCATGATAATTTTAAGTAAAGTATTTTTAAAAATGTCGAAATTAACAAATTTACATAACAATTTTTTGGTGGGAATTGCCGTCATTCACTGAGAACGACGAAAAAAGTTTCAATTTTTATGGTTAATTCTTACATAACTATACACGATTTCTAATTTTATGATGTAACGTCGCATTAAAATTAAAATAATGAGAGTTAACAAGATTCAAAACATTTATTTGTGAATAATTAAAATATAAGTACTATTCAATCTCATAGTTAGTTTTATTCATAGCAGAAATCTCGAAATAGCGAATTATCAATTGACTCAACGTGATGAACGTTATCAAAAAGAACATGATCTAAAACAGAATGATGTAAATAATGAAATTTGCTGGCTAAATCAACTTAAATACGAGTACGTTAATATATTATATTTTGGTCCAAAAAATTAACATTAATAAAAATTTTAAGAGATGAAAAACTTCAAGCAGAAATGTTACGTAAAAAGTTAAATAAAAAAAATATGTTTTTTGAAGATTTAAACAAGTGGTTAAAAGAAAATAAAGCTAAGCGAGATAAAAACAAAATCCCAGGAGCTTATGTAAGTTAACAAAAATTTATTTAGAAATGATTGATACATGAATCAGTCATCAATATTGCAGAGTCGACAATTCGCCTCGCATCGATGCGTGGATACCGGTTTTCGATTTTATGACGATAGGCTATGCAGATTTTCCGTCTTCTCTGCCACAAACAATAGCTTTTAGAGAGGCAGGATCGTATTTAGGATGTATAGGCCCTTGGCTAGCCTATGGCGCGGGCTCTACCATGGTCATAGAAATATATTTAATATATTAATAACCGGTTGCCTTTTTTTTTTTGCACACCCTTTCCATTAAAAGAGTGCTACTGTAAATAAATTTTTTTAATTAAAATTAATAAATTATTGATAATTCATAATCAGAAAGGTAAGTAGCAAAAGATGAAGTTAGTAAAAAGTAAACAAAAAATCAGTATTTTATACATGTAACTATATTTACATGATTTAAGTAACATAAAATGAACTTTTTAAGAAAATTCTCTAGTGTCCAATTGGTTTTCTTTTAGCTTTAATGGTACTGAAATCTTTTATTATGTCATCATATTTAAGTTGTCTTAAAATATCACTTTCTATGCTCATTAGAGCTAAAATATTTAGCCTCTCATCCAGCATGGAAGTCCGAAGCCGATTTTTTATCAGTTTCAACTTTGAGAATGACCTTTCTCCACTACTGTTCGTGACCATTAATGAGAGGTACATTCTTAGAGCAACCTCAATGTTGGGGAAACAATTGCTGACTTTTTTATCCAAAAGAATATAACACATCCACTTTTCCTTGTTAATAAATTCTTTTTTTTGATCTTTTGGAAACTCCCGATAAAAAGCTTTAAACTGAATCAATTAATTTCCAAATTGGTCGCCTTACTCATTGTCATATATTTTTATTAAATTATCTGCTGCTAAAATTAATTCCTCATTATCAAGTTTATATAACTTGTTGAGAAACCCAAAACGAGTATCAACAAGTTTATATGCTTCAAGCCTCATCCGCAATGAATATTCAAACTGATCAATGACTGGAAGGATACTTTGGGTTAAAAACTTGTGTGATGGGGTCAACTCAACGGTTGGTGCTTGAACACAGAAATAGGTGCCAAACGCACATATACTTTACGCTTGCGCTGTGTTTCACCCTCGTTCTCATTACAAATATCTAAAGCAGCTAATTTTACTTTATATTCTTCAAAACTATCCCGTTTCGTGCTGATAAAACTTTTAACCAATACCAGTGCTAAGACTGCTGTATTAACATCTAGTCTGGGATTTTGTAAACTTTCACTTGTTTTATTTAGTTGTCCTAAGATATTGTTCCAAAAAACAGTGAAGAGTTCCGTTTCCCTCTTGGACATTTTTTATGTAAACTTAATGCAGTAATACGTGATTTTCTAGGTTCTTCTTTGTTCTCTGAAATTTCAAAAAGCACTCTTTTTATTTCTTTGTAGTCTTGAATGAGAGCTTTTGTAGCGTCTACTCGGCATGACCATCGTGTTGTTGTTATTATTTTTGGTACAAGAATAGGTTTGTCAGTGATTGCCTTTTTTAGACTTAATTTTAAACTTTATACCTATGAGTTGTGGCTGTAAAGTATACATAAAATTCTTCTAAAAAGTCAAAAAAACTTATAGCACTCTGCAGCAGCCTGAACAACAAGGTTGAGTGAGTGCGCAGCACAAGGCACTCATATGGCTAAATGATTTTCTGTTTGTACTAATGTTTGAAGATTATTGTACTTTCCGCTCATTGAAGAAGCATTGTCATAAGACTGTCCTCGGCAATTTTCAATATCTATGTCATTATTTTTTAAAAATCAATCAAGCTTCGAAACATATCTTAAGCATTGTGACCCTGATTAGTCATGAATGTAACAAATCTTTCAATTGAGTTATGGTTTTCTAAATATTTAAAGATCAAAGTTAGCTGATCAACGTGATCTTCGTCTGTAGTTGAGTCTAACGATATGGAATAGTATTTTTACTGCTTGATTCGAGAGATAACTTCATTAAAAACTTTTTTTTAATAAGTTGCACAATTTCCTCGCAAATAGTCGATGATAAGTAGTTAGTGTTACCGCTTCCACAGCTCCCATTGTTTTTTATATGTTTGTCTAAAAAGTCGTCGTACTCTGCTATAAGCTCCAGTATCCCTAGGTAATTTCCATTTCTCGGTGACCCAAATACTTGTTTTTCACCCCTAAATGCCAAGCCTCTTTCACTAATGAATACGATCACACTAATCAACCTTTTGAGAATTTCTTGCCAGTATATTGCTTCACTTTCGGCTTGTTGTACTAACTCTTGATCAACACAGCCTTTTTCTTTAGATCGTACTGCAAAATGAGTTGTAGCATTCAAGTGGTTTTTAGAAGTTTCATGCTCAACCAGACGTGCTGCAGCATTTTTCCAATCACAATAACCACCATGGGTAAACTGTGAACGTGTTTTAGAAAAAAGTTTGCATACAAAGCAATATACATGTCCATCACTAGGAGAAAAACTAGCCATGGACGTTTTATAATTTCACCGTTCCGTGTTTTCCGTTGAAAAAAGCTTGTTTGACATTTTCTAGCATAATTTATGTCACTTTGCTTGAAAGATTTACAATCAAATAGGTCACCGTTACAATTTTTAAATGTCGTAGAT